TGTACGAAAGAGTATTAGACACGGCTAGAGGGGAGATGCAGGAATGGCAACGCTGGAAAATGAGAGGCTTAAGAATGAGAGCTAGAGTCAAGGAATGGGAGGAAGGGGAGAGAATGACCAAATTCTTCTTCCAAAAAATCAGAACTAGGGGCAGGAACAATCTCATAGAGAGCCTAGAAGGGGAAGAGGGGCTTATTTCCGACAAGGGAGGGTTGTTAAGGGTGGCGTTCGACTTCTATAGTAAATTATACACATCAGTGGAAGACCAGTTTTCTAAGATCAGTGTTGAGGAGGCGAGATCCAAGTTTCTGAATTACCTTCGGAGCACAATCTCACGAAAACACGCGGCCATGCTGGACGAACCCTTAACACAGGAGGAGTTATGGGACGCACTTAAAACAATGACCCCGAATAAAACCCCTGGGAAAGACGGCCTCACTAGAGAATTCTGGGTTGAATTTTGGCCAATTTTAGGCGAGGAATACGTGTCTTTTCTCGAACAGGCATGGCAGGAAGAGGGTATAGGAAGTGAGCCTGCTACAGGGATAGTCACGCTGCTTTACAAAAAAGGGAGCCCAACAGACATAAGAAATTATAGACCAATAACTTTGTTGACTCTCACTCATAAAATAGTAGCCAAGGCGCTAGCCAATCGCTTATCTAAAATTACAACAGGTTGCTTCCATCTGGATCAAACAGGATTCATACCGAGGAGGTTTATATTGGACAATGTCATGTGCCTAACTGAGTCGGTTCGATACATAAGGGACAAGCACATCAACGCCGCCATCTTCTTTTTCGACTTTGAAAAGGCTTACGATCAGGTCAGTTGGCCTTTCTTACAGTTGTGCATGGAAAAGATGGGGGTAGGGCCGAATTTTAGGAAGTGGATAAGGGTCCTATACAACAACGCACAAGGACAAGTACAGATAAATGGTCACTTATCCTCGACCTACCCTATGTCTAGGTCGGTTAGGCAAGGGGACCCCCTAGCTGCTCCTATCTTTCTCTTCATAATGGAGGCAATAGCCTCTTTTTTGAGAAAGGACCCGTCAATAGAAAGGCTAACAACACCGCCAGACCAGCAGGGACACAAGGTGGTAATCCCCACGACGATACTGTTCGCGAATGATCTGACAGTCTTAATCAGGGCAACGGACTCCTCCTTCCAAGCACTAACAAGAGCTATGGAAGCTTTTCAGCTGGCCTCAGAAATTAAAATTAATTGGCACAAAACAGTGGGTTGGTGGATGTCAGAGCTAGACCAAGAGAATCAAACACCAGTCACTAGTCCGGAGGGGCTTCAATGGTTGTCACCACAACAACCGCTCCGATACCTTGGGATCAAGATAACAGAAGAGGGGACYCACCAGTCTATGGCGACAKATATAATGGCCWAGATGTTAGCAAAGGTYGGGGCTTGGTCGACAGTGTACACCTCAATATACGGGAGAGCACTKATCCTGAACGCATCAATCCTTTCCATGATGTGGTASGSGGGGACAATTTGGACCCCCCCCAAGGCCACGTCGACCCATCTTAGGAGAAAGGCCGCAGCCTATTTGTGGACAGCGAAGCATAACTCGGAACATTTCATAACCAAGGTGGCATGGAAAACGGTAGCTAGAGCCAAGGGTCAAGGAGGCCTGTGCATCCTAGACCCAAGTCTTCAGTTGAAGGCCTTGCAAACAAAGTGGGTGGTCAAGCTAATCTCACAACCCAAGTTATCATGGACTTCCCTAGTATTGGATATGATCAGGCAGATAGCCAAGTATAAAACACCTAACAACATGACGGGTCTGTTCTGGATCATGTGTAGCAACTGGGCTAAAGTGGGCTATAGGAAGGAGAACARGGATGCACAAGGKGGGAGGGCYAGAAACCCTTCTTATTGGCTACAACTAATACAGCTGTGGAAGGAAATCTTCCCAGCGAGGGTCAGAGAACCTACTACAAGGGAGGAGGTATTAAGACAACCGRTATTCTGCAATATTAGCATTAGGGATGACGGCGGAAAACCCCTTACACTAACTAGCAAAGATTCGAGATGGGSCAGATGGGTGGAACACGGAATATGGYAGATCAAACAYATCTGGGATGATGAAAACAACCGGTGGAAAACAGCRAGGGAGCTGAGGAGTGCATTGAAAGGGTGCCACAACCTTCATGACAACCTGAGAATAGTCACAGACTCCATACATCCATCCTGGGTACTCTTGTTGAGAGAGGGAAAGCAATGGCGAGAGGGAGATTGGGCCACATGGGAAGATGATCCGGAACCTAAACAGGTCTTCAGGGTGTGGGACACGGACAAGGATAGRAAGGAATGGCTAKTAGCTGACAAATACGACATAATACAGCCCAGCAGTACCACTTCCCAACTGGACAAATCTTCCAAAGCACCACTGTATATACTCAAACAAGGGCTACAGAAGGTAAGAGTAATAGAGATGGATGAGTATACAGTATATAACTCAACAGTTCCTATCGAGAATCTAGAGGTCGACCCCGGAGAATGGCCTGGAACATCAGAGATGGGCAATCAAGAGTAGCTAGAAGAATCAACATTCTCCAATATACCACAAAAATGGGGTACAGGCTGAGGAACAGATCCAGATCCATAGGTCACTCCCTGACAAAGCGCTGGGAGAAGAAAGTAGGGGTCCCCAGGAGCCTAATGCCTGATATACCTTGGTCTAGCATCCTATCTATTAGACTGGGTCAGGTTAGGAGTATGCAATGGCTAATAGCACATGTGGCACTACCGGTGAATGTGTGGCTCAACGAAAGAAGAAGTCGTAACCAGAGAAACGAGGAAGCGGAGCTTTGCAGAGTGTGCCAAGAAGGGCTTCCGGAAACACTGGTACATTGCCTGCTAGAATGTAAGGAGGCAGTAAATGTGGGAACAAGTTAGGGGGATTTGGAAACAGGTAGTGACGATAGCATTCCCAGACTCAAAGATTACCATGCTTTTGGGGGATGGGGTTCCCAAAGGATGGCAGCCCTACCAGCAACACATCTTCCAACTGCTGAGAGAATATGGACTGTGGACCATTTGGAAGAGGAGATGTCAGGCCACTTTGAAAGGAACACTAATTCATAGGGAGGAAGCTAGGGAGCTGTTCCTCAATGCAGTGGAAACACATCTCTACGCGCAGTGGAAAAAGGTGAGACAGCAAGCAAGACAACAACCGGGTCAAGAGGAGGAAATAATCAAAAAAATTAAACAGAATACTTTGGGGATGGGGAAAGTAGCAGAGCCCAGAGGCGTACAACTTCGCTTCAAATGGAGAGAGGAGGGATGAGGATATCAGGGATCAGAAATGGGGTAGGGCTAAAGGAAAGAGAGGAAAATTATCCTCCTCATTTTGACTGGCTTCCCTCAGTGGCCACGGTAAACAGAAAGGATCTGGTTTGAGTTCACCAGTAAGACTTCCCTCGGGTCAAATGGAAGGAAGGAGGCAGCAGAACGTTTCAGGAGGCTGCAGGCGCACGGGAGAGAGTCTGGGGGGAGACTAAGGTTCGGTTACAAGCAGATTTTCCATGCAGCTGGAAAAAGATCAAGAGTACAGGGACAGATGACGAAGAGAAGCGGAAGAAGGCTAGAGACAGTTCGTCAAAACATGGTGGGCAGGGGGGAGGGTTGCTGAGTTGAGGAATGATCCTATTTGGGGGTAGGAAGGGCACAACTCCGTTTCAAGAAGAAATCTGGATCAGTAAAGCACAGTATCAGAGAATGGAACCCTTGATTCAGTTCCTAACCGAGACAGCACCGCTCTCGGTACACTACTCTTAAAGTTCAGCGGTAGTGACCAGGTTTCAAATTGGTAACGCAGGCGAACAAGGGAACCAAAAGGGTCAAAGCAAGGAGTACCTATGCTACGGGGGAAGCGATCCTTGAATGGGAACGGCATTTTGGGGTGCAGTTAAGAAGAAAGAGGGTTTAGGGTTCAGGGGTTAAGGGTGGCTTAGGCAAAAAGCAAAAACAGGTGGAACGGAAAGGGCTCGGGTTGATGACCACAAGGGAGGGACTCTTTCTAAGGTTCAGCGATGTAACATGGCAGACCTATTTGTTCGGTCTGAGAGGAAACAGAGAGGTTGGGCAAGCTGGCAGACAATCCTTCACCGAGGTGGAGCAATCAATGCTGTCCAGGGGTCCTTTGGCCAGACGGAAGGAAGCGTGAGTGATAGTACTTGTGTAATGTTTATATTGACTTGCCGGTGGAATAGGAACCGGACTGACGCTCCCCAGAATAGAAGGAGCCAGGACCGTAAGGCC